ATAAATACGTAAGTAAGTAAATAAATAAATACGTAAGTAAGTAAATAAATAAATAAGAAAATAAATAGGTAAATAAATAAATAAAATAAAATAAAATAAAAAAATCTGTAAGTGTGTCCCGTACCTCGCCCTCCTCACTCTCCGTGTCCCCGCTGGAGGAGTTGGTATTCCCGCTGCGGTTTCTGGTTCTCTGTTTGTTCCTCCTCCTGTGTCGGGCCTCCACTTCGTACAGGTCGTTCATGCTGCGAGACGGCTTGATGAGGAAGGCGGCGTTTGCTCGGCGGTAGCGGTAACGATGGCTTCCTACCCGCCCGTAGTAGGAGAAGGTGCAGGACGGCTGGCGGTAGAAGGTGTGACGGTGGCGTGACTGACGCATGGGAGCTCCAGTACTGGCAGCTGGGACGGAGAAAAAAAAATGTTTATCAAGTCACTGTTCCGATTTAAAGTAGCCTTAGTGCACACTCAAACAAAAACAGGCTTTTAATTTAATATTCTACAGCRTAGGGTTGCACTAATTAATCACCAAGTGTCTGGAATCAGAGAAATATGTTAGTGAAAGCTGGTTTATTTTAAACAAATGGATCTGAGCAAACAGATTCATGCAATAAATCCTTTTTCACATTTGACTCATTCAGTTGGAGTCTATGTAAAGTGGAACTGGAATGCTTTGGTCTGATTTCCTCGTTAATGCAACTCCACAAGCCCCTCTTTCACCCCTTTTCTGAGGCGTGTCTCAGATCAACTCATTTTGAGGCTGTCTCTTTAAATACAAACAAGGACCCAGAGCCAGAGGAGAATGATGACCAAATTGTAGTTGGTAAGTCCAGACCCTTATTTGGCAGTTCCATCGCAAATAATGTGACGTAATAGTTCAGAAAACATCATAGAAAATAGAGAAAACTGAAAAATACTGGGTTGAAAAATATGACCCAYGCAGAATATAAAGATTTCTACACATTATCAGGAGAGATTTAATTCAACTTTTGAGACTCCAAGAACACAACAAAAATGCATTTAACGGCCAAAAAATAGTTGATTTTGCATGATATGTCCCTATTAATATTACTAGTGACAGAAGGAAGACTCAGTAACTTGGTGTTACTGTAATTAAAAAGGGAGTTTTTTATTTATTTGTACATATAATAAGGGTTTAGTAAGCTCTGAACACTTTAAAGAAAAGTTGGAATCAGGCAAGTTCAAAGTCAGAGCTCTCGTACAGAGTTTATTATATCATGAAGGTTCTGACCTTTGACCATCCCAGCCCGGTGTGCCTGTCCTTTAGAGCTCAGCCCGTTCAAGCCTTCTCTATCAGGGTTAGGTACGCTGGCTAACAGCCGCCCGTTCAGAATCCGCTGCTCATTCAGCTGGTTGTTCAGCAGCGCCTCCTGCCCGTCGTCATTCTCCATCTCCTGTAAGAAGGCCGAGAGGCGGGAAATCCTGGGGCTGGGGTTGTGATGGCCGACGCTGTGCGCGCGGAGCAAGTCTTCGCTCCCCGCGCTGCTGCTGCGCCTGAAGCTGGTGAGTCGTGGACGGGAGCCGCTGTGATTCGGGCTGAAGAAGGAGCCGGTCCTGGAGGGAGTGCCGTGATAGGGGGAGATGTGCTCGGCGAAGATGGACGGCTCCAGGTGGCACAAGAACAAGGTGTCGTGGTCCATGTGGTCGAGGGTTGCGTCAGCCATGGCAAGAACGCTGTCACTTTTACCTGGAGAGAGAATAAGAGTTGAGAAGCGAAGACGAGTCAACCCGGGTCACAGCTGTGTTGATGTCAACTTACTTCTCACTAGTTCCACCTCCAGGAAGTCCATGTCTCCATTCTCTGAGTGATTGTCTCCATAGGGATCATAGAGGTCGTATGTTTCTATAGCATCATCTTCTCCAATCATTTCCAGTTTTGGGGCAAGAAGTCCAGCCCTGCCATTGGCTGATTGTTGCAGATGGGTGGAGTTTGAACTTGCCTGGAACGAGGATGGTTACAGGATCACATTCTGTGGTACTTCACAGTCTTTTTCTTTTAACACACATACAACTGTGATAAGGATCTGTACCTGGTCGAGCCGGTCACTTTGTGGTGAGTATTGCTGCTCCTCAATACTGAAGAGATGGAGCACCACAGAGATGGAGAAGAGGATGGCCGCAAAGATGAACAAGATCTGCTCCTGGGACTGGAACACTGCTCCGAGGAACGTGTGCATCCAGTCCAGACCTCCGAGAGCGTAGCCCACTGCACCTCCAAGACCTGCAAAAGCGAATGGGTTTTGGCTTAGAAGAAATGTCTCGTCTGCACGTTAAAACGACGTGAAAGATTCTGAGGTGGCCGTACCTGCAGAGGCGGCGTGGATGTTGAGCGCCATGTCTTGTTCCTCTGTGTCCGCCACATCCAGCAAGTACGCCCGAATTGGACCCTCTGTGGCATCTGCGCAGAAGTCCAGCACCACAACGCCCAGCACAGTGAGGACGATTCCTATTGGTCGTCTCCCCTGCTCATCACCCAACGACAGACCTGACAGGAGAAAAGAGACAGGAACCTTGTTACCACACTCTGYGTATTCCTGGATAGTTGACCCAAAGTACTTGAAATCCTGCACTTTTGGGACCTCTGCTCCTTGTAGCCTCATGGTTTTACCTGCCCCACTCTCATTCACTATCAGGCTTTGCCTTTTGATTTTAAGGAAAAGCTGCCTCCTTTTTTTGCAGACGCTTTCCCCGTTGCATATTTAAAATCCTTCAGAAGTTGAAATGTTATGTTCAAAAATGGATTTGTGGTTTTATTTACACAACATTCACCAAATTAACTTGTTTATACTGACGTTGACACGGGGCCAAGACTAAACTTGTGATCAATAGCTTATTTGTGACTTTTAATTGAGTCAAACACACACAAACAGGTCACTGCACATTTCCCATACTGCTTTGCAGGGTGCAAGTTGCAGTGACCTTGGATGCCCCTCAGACGGGCCTGAAAGAGAAGGTGCGTGAACCCCATAGAGCAGCGTTAAATGTGTGTACTATAAAGGCGTGTGTGTGTGTGTGTGTGTGTGTGTGTGTGTGTGTGTGTGTGTGTGTG